TAGAGGCTTCTCTATAAGGGTCTGTTTATTTAGTCTGGCTAGAGCTTAGTTCTTACGACTTTGTTGATTTCTATTAAAGATTTCTTGGTTCCCATCCATTCTATAAGGCAATTCATTAATTTTATGATCGTGAGATTTAAGTCGAAAAGAAAAATATTTAGTTTTCCCCAGAGAAAAAGAAGGGTCCCTCAGACTAAACAGATTTTACGACTTTCACAGAAAATTATCGTGTTAAGGGCGGAAACACGTGTAGACCCCCAAACAAGATAGGCTTATTTTCTTCGCTGTAAAATAAACTGTTACACTCTCATGACAAATACATTTTAATCTGACTGGTATACCATACCTGTGCAGGTAGTAGCATAGCTTGAAATAAATTACTATGTTGGAAACGAACGCTGAATCTGAACGAAACTGCTTCTAGTGGGATATCTTCGGATCAAACTCGTTCAGCAGGACAGCAAAACAGGGTAAAGGTACATTGTATACAGATAACAGTTTGTTCCAAGTTGCATTTTATTACTAATCAACAATTAATGTGATGTACTAGACAATAATAATAACAACAAAGTTTTGGCTCAAAGTAAGTTTACGAATTCTATAATAATAAACGATAATTATTAATTAAATTTTATTTTTATTTCAATTATTATTAAATAATTGCAAATATTTTCAGGGCTTGTAGATCTCGATGAAAGAAACATATATTTTCTTTACTGTTTCTCAAATAAATCAAAATAACAGAGTTATACATTGGTGTAACTACAGGGGTGAACGGGGATGCCGGGCACCCCCCCAGGTACTGCTGGGCATCCCCCCAAAAAATCCTGAATTATGACTCTTGGCTACGTATTAATTTTTATTTGCTTGTGATGCAGTAAAAATGACGTTTTCTAGTTTTGTTTAGTTAATTTTATTTTGTTGTGTTGAAAAAATGTGTTAATTTTTATTTTTTTAGAAAATTTGTCGGTATTTAAGTAATCTACGGGAACACGGTTTGATAACCAAGTCTATAAAAATGTGTTTTTAGAATTATTTTTCATTTTTAAAAAAACAAAAGCACTAGGCCCCCACTGGGCTCAACCCCAGGCCCCCCCAGGCCCACCAGCAGACCTTGCAGTCGAACATTGTTCTTTTTGGAACCTCTTTTAGTGCGAAGTGGTACGAGATAGCTTAATAGCCGTAAAAAACTCGTAACTTTATTAGAATATTTTGAACGGGAAAGCGGTAGTAAAGGCCCTTTACGTCCCTTAAGTGCTGTTAAAAAGGTGAGTTTTCTTGATGTAAATAATAACTGTTTATATATTTATAATTAATTTATTTTTGTCTCCTAAAATATTTTGATTAAAATTATAATCGTGTTTCTGGGGTCGAAATATACTAGCCCTACAAAAAAGACTCACCGTGTATATAGAATAAAAAGTAAAATAAACAAATTTATCTTTTGAAATTTTAATAAATTTCCAAATGCATTTTTTATGCACCCCGATGCACTGATCAAATCAAAAATCTATGCGACCCTTTTATTCATTTACATTTATGATCTAAAAATAGATATGATATTGATTGCTCTACTGGTCTAGTTTTCTTAAGTTCACCAACAAACCATACAAAAACAATGATTTAGATAAATCTGTTGATGTTTATAAGTCAAATTGTTGATAAGAATTTTGGGTTATTATTAACAACAAAAATCATTGGCCTGATATTTCGGGTATTGATATAAATAAATACCGGTTATAATCGGAATAAAAACAACGTCATTAAAGGTGTAGACAACATTTTAGTTCAAAATGTACTTCTAGAAGTCTCATCAACTTCAAATTTTGAATCTTATGCCGGGTCCAGACCAAGGCGATAAAATGTAAACACTATTTTGAGTGCAATGACAAAAGTACAACAAAGTCAAAAAAGTTTAGTTGTTGCGAATGAGTTTTATTAACCATGTGTGATTTCACTGGTCTCCTACTGTTGGCAGCACACGCCATTCACACTGCGCCGACAAATTGTCGTGAAATATACGAACAAAACATAGACACTTTGATCTTTACCGACTCGGGACGGGACATTGAAAAGTCTCCGAATTTTGAAACAAAACAAAAAAGTATAAAGTGTAATTGAAACCACTAATTTATTCAACTATTTGCGAGGTTATGAATGAAGCTTTAGTTGGCTCTTAACCGATAAAAAAAGGAAAAAAAAAATACAAAATCTCGATATCATTATACATTAATTGAAAAATTTATCAATTTTTGCATTGAATAAAGAATCGTCCACATGAAGCTGCAAGAATGAGTTTTGATTGCTTTGGTTTCAACGGTTTTTAGATATTCTCTGGTTTCCATAATTTTGTCTGCTTTGAACATCCTTATTTTAAAATTGACTTTTTTTATTAAAATTTTGGCGTTGTCATTAAATCTTTTGTTTATACAGGGCGAGTCTTAAATAAGTGCAAATATTTCCAGGGTGGTTGATCTCGATAAAAGAAACATATTTTCTCTTTATCGTAAATAAGTCCAACATAACTGAGTTATTTTACTTTGAACGTTTCAAAAAAAAATATATTTCTTATTAAATTATCAATGTTGTCTCGGGGTATGTTTTCCCATTCTGCTAATGCTTCATCAATAAGCTGTGCAAGATTTCCTGGATTGTTTCGACGAGCTCTAACCCTTCTTTTGAGCTAGTCCCACAAGTGTTCGATAGGGTTTAGATCTGGTAAACATGCAGGCCAGTCCAAAACTATGACACCTTCCGTTTCAAGATATTCTCTAGTCACTCTGCTGGTATGGGGAGGTGCACTATTGTACAAGAAATTAAAATTATCCCCAATTGCAGCTCTCCAAAGACTAACGATTGGTTCTAGCACCAAATAAACATATCTCCGACCCGTTAAAGTTTGTTGAAGTGGTAACAATGGAGTTTTTGCTCCCAGTATAATACCTCCTCAGAACATTATAGTTCCTCCTTTATATCTTGGTACAGATTTGGCAGCCTGAAGTCTCGCTCGTCTTCCTGGAGCTCGGAGAACCCGAATTCGATGGTTATCTGATCTTAGACCAATTCTGGTCTCATCCGAAAAAAGAACATTTTGTTAATTCTCAGTTGTCCAGTTTTGATGTTGAAGGCATTAATTTGGCCGGTCAATTTTATTTGCCGAGATAACTGTGGGATCTCTCCTACTGTTAAACCTACTAGATTAACTCTCTCCTACTGTTAAACCCTCGAGCACTAAGCCTTTCTCATATGGTTTCAATTAAAACGTTCACACTTGTAGCTGCCAGAAGTTGTCTTTGTAACTCTGGATGAGAAACATTGGGATATATATTACATGAAATGTATATTTGCACTTATTTTAGACTCACTCTCTATATCTTTACAATTAGTACTAATTTCTTGAACAAAATAAAGAAATATTGTATTATTCCTTTTGTGTTTTGATTTATTCATAATGTTGCTTTATTCAACAATTTTATTATTAACAAGAAACTTTAATAATTCTCTTTGAAATTACTTAAGTGCTCGTTATAAGCAGCCACGACGGAAATTTCACGACAAATTGCATATTTGTCAGAAGGAAAACTCCAATTTTAGATTTCCTTCAGATTAAAAACTTTAAAAGTTAGAAACGCTAATCTTCCTGAAATCAAAATTGGAACTGTAAGAGCTTTTAAAATGCAATAAAGAAAGTTTTAAGCTCTATTTTAAGCTCTTTTTTTATTTTAAGCATTGGAATAAATTTTTCTTTAGTAAAATATCGAAAATACTATTATTTGTGTTTTTGTTAAAAAATGTCAAGGGTGACATAAAATTTGTGTATCAAGGTTGGTTTCACGCTTCATGAGCATAACAATTAGAGGTTTTGTTTACTTCTAAGGTGATTTTTGAAAAAAAAATGTCTTGCATGTTTTTTGTATTAATTACCGTGAATTATTTTATTTCATAACTTTTAATTTTATTAACTCATTAGTTGGTCAATGTTTGTTTTACATATTTTAGCAAAAAACAGAGATATACTGAGGTGTTCATTGAGGAGACAGCGTCTTGTTAAAAACCCCGTACAATCCGAAGATTGTTCTTACTTAAATCAAGGAAAATCTTTGATTTGGTTTGGTTAGTTAGCGAAACGCGGTTTTCAATTTAAGATTAGGAATAATATTTGCAACAAAATTTGTAATAACATCAAAATCAAAGTCGCAGTTTTTGAGATATTCCGTGTTTCCGTAGTCCGTTTTTGAGAAAATCCGTGTGGAGGATTCCAAACTCCCATCGGACGCGACCCCAGGTGGCGGTTAGGGGAAATAACCGCGGACCAAAATTGGAAAAATTCCTTTACTTTGAAACTAAAAGAACTGCTTACCAATTTTTTATTAACATATTTTAGTATGGGCGGCTATACGTGCCTCTCGGCGCCATTTTTTTTATAAAATAAAATCCTTCAATTTTCAGATATAGATTGACGGTTTCATAACTTAAAAATAGCTTAAAAACGTCATATTTGGGGGTGGTCGTGTCACAATATGATTTTCTAATGTTGTGCACCCCTCTAGTACTCAACCACGCGCCGCCTCTGGTTACATGACATCTTTATGATATCAGATATCAAATTAGGTGTTTGATCTAATTATGATTATTTATTGCTTTACGTCTCTTCATTTACACCAAATAAATTAATATAATTGTGCTAATAAAGCCAATACAAAAACGTCATGTTGACGAAAATGAAAAAAAAACACATGATTATTTTGTATAAGAAGATCATTATAACTCAGTTTGGCACAACGATTTATATAGCTTAAATTGACGCAATCTTAATAAAAAAACACAAAACATATAACACTTATATTTATTAATAATTATTTACATATTTTATTAAAAAAATGCAATTCATTTAAACAAGAATATTTCTTATACTTATAATTAAATAAAATAGGTCTGTAGCATTTTTTATAAAAAAAAATCTGAAATATTTTAAAAATAATATATATTGTTTGTTACAGAGAAGTAAATAAGATGGACCATCAAGAATCACAAGATGACGAGGCACCAAAGGATCCAAAAGCTGACAAACAGAAGCTGTCTTTTGATGAAACGGATTTCGAAGGTAAAGTAGCATTAATAAAAGAAAATAACTGTAATTTTCTTTTACCAGTGATGTTGGTTTAAAATTATCCAGTCGATTTTCTCTCCTTTTCAAAATTACAAGATTCTCATTTTGTTCTGCCTTATAATTATTATTGTGATTTGATAAATAAAAAAAAATACTTATACAAGTATTCAGTATTGAATTCTTGAAATTACATTTTAATATGGGAAGTCAATCAAATTGTTATTTTCTGTCAATTTTTTTTTGCTATAAATGTTTTGCAATTAGTGCTAATATTATCCAGATATAAGATCCACATAAATACATAGGGTGAGTCATAAATAAGTACAAATATTTTAAGGGGTTGTATATTTCGACCCCAGAAACACGCATTTTTCGAAAAAAAATTGTAAATTTTTTAATTTTTAGTTAAAAAACATAATATCTTGATAATATGGCAACATAGGTAGTAAATTAAATTTACAAAAAAGAAAACCCAGAAAATATCCAGTGGTTCTCAAAATTTAGGCAAAATATACTTTTTTTTTAGTTTTCTTTTAACGAGATCTACCAGCCCTGAAAATATTTGTACATATTTGAGACTCACCCTGTATAATTATAAATATTAATTATAAAAATATGCAGAGGTGAAGTTACATGTTAAAATTTATGAATTTTATATAAAAATATCAAGGGATTTGAACTTATGAATTTCAAAACTTTTAATGGGATCAGAAATAATATTTTGACATAACATGGTAATGAGATAAAGTAATTTATATTTAATTTATTTGTGCAAAATATTTAAATAAATTTAATTTACTATATTTATTATATGCGATTACTATTGAGACACTCATACTAGAGACACCTGTATAATAAAAATACTAAAATAATAAAAAGAAAAAAAATTAAATGCTTTAAAGTAAAATAAAATCCAAGGGTGTAACGACCTTTCAATCGAATAAAAATGTCGTCATAGTAAGCATAGAAATATTATATTATCGAATTATTGATTTTTTAACTCCAATCAAATGTCAGTCTTGTTAGAAAAATATTACAAGTTCACACAGGTCAGTACGAATGTCATTACATCTATCGAGGAAAGTCATACTTTTAGTTAATAAATATATCAAACAACATTATGCATAAGTAAATTTGTTTAAATAATTGACAAATTCCTCAAGTTTAGCAGAAAATTAATACAAATTACTAAGGAGCGTCAGTAGTAAGGAAATTTGCGTAATAAATTTAGCTATTCATACTGAAATTGTTTATTATTATCAGCAAATTAACGAATGTCAGATATTTTTAACAGATTGTGCTGTGAATTATATATACAATTGAAAAATTGAATAATATTTTTTGTTAATGAGATTATTAGTAATATTACTAAAGTTTAATAAAAATCACGTTTAATTTGGTTATATTTATTCATATTATTTTTATTTTTTTAATAAATGTTTCAGAGTTTAACTGAAAAAAAACATCAAACTATATTCTTTCCTTGCAATCAATGCCTGTCTCTATATTTTCAACGCATGTAATTGCATTTTGCTTTTCAATTTCCGTTCTTTCAGAAGTTCATCCACTTCTTCCCACTTTACTTTATTTTCTTTTCAAAAATTGTTTCTTTTAAAGCTACCATTTTGTTTATTTCAAGACACTATCAGGAAATTGAGAATATTTAAAGAAGAGTAAATACACTCATATGCAAAAGTTTTTAAAATGTTATATTTTTTTTATTTTTAGCCCTAGTTTATTGACTTTTTTAGCAAACTGTATAAATATATCATCTATAATTCGTAAACTCAGTTTATTATAAACTTAAAAAATTTTTATGAACAAAATGAACTTGCCACAAACATTTTGAAATTTTTTCAATTATCGTTACTTTTTGATGTTATTCTTCATAATGACGAGGTGGTTTTGGTGATTATTGTTCTGTCTAAGATTGTGCAAAACTCATTGATCTGGTTGAAGATGGCCGAAATTATGAATATTGTTCGAACGATCCACCACACGGTATGTATTTGATGACTAATTAAACTGATAAATTTAATTATGACATAAAAAATTAATCACACGGGTAACTCTCCATCGGATTTAATTTCACTTTTGTTTATTGTTTATTTGTCATGTCATTTAATGATATGTAAAACGGACACAAATATTACAAGGTGAATAGGTGTGGGCGTATAGGTCATATGACCCGATCAAGGAACGATAGTTGCACTAATTTTAAAAAGGAAAATAAAAATCAACAAAAATGTAGTTGACAAAAGGGTCATGGGACTCGTTAATTCACTATCACCGAAGAAACTGCCGCAGAATTCTTAAAATAGCGCTGTTCGATAAAGAGCATGCATAATTTTATGGGTTATAACATGCTGGTATGAACGAGTAAGGAATATTAAATACTTATATTGGCACCTTTGTTGACTGTACGTACGCCATATTAAATATATATTTGAAATTTACATAATCACGAGACCAGATAGAGAGTCGTTCAGAATAATATATTATATATATTTAAACTACATTATAAACACCTAATTAATGGACTTAATGCCCTGTCTACACCTAACGTTTTTACCTGTCAGTCAAAACGTAACAAGTTAAAGAGAAACTCTGTAAAACATACCAAAATGGGACATGCTGTACATTATTTTTATCTTTCTTTACAGGTCATCGAGCTCACAGTGTGTTTGTTGGAGTGCATGTTCCATCTGAAAGAAGGCATTCCCATAGGAGACGCAAACACCATCACAGGACTTCAGAAGGAGAAAAATCCGGCTCAGAAGATGACAGACCCAGTAAGTATTTCAAAAATTATATTATCTTTTCTATAACCAATGGTTAAAACTAGAAAATGTATATATGCATATTGAGTAAATTATGTATAAATGACGAGACTGTTTTTTATATCATTTTAATATTACGTGACTTTAAACCAATGTTATTTATATATATTAATTAATTTAATTAATGTATTAATATTAAAATGTTCGTGTTAACAGACTGACGTTGAAAGAAAATATAAACGTAAAAGATTTAATAGCTCTATATCGAATTTACCCTTTTTATAAGCAGTTATTTTTAGCTCCAAACACTAATTGTGTTGGGTTTCTCTTGTTACATTATTTACATGACCTTAAGTAATTTTACCAGAAAAAAATAGAATTATATTAGGGTTACAAAAATATTTATATTTCCGTGCTTTAGAAATACCATATGATCGAATAAAACCGACAAAGACGGCTGGGGATTAAAAATCGATGATAATTTTGACGAGGTGAATATCTAGATGTCATTTAATAAAAATTGACACAAAACTTGTCAAAAATTGACACTATTTATAGAAAGATTAAAAGAGTATAGAACGTTCTATAGACTTTTCCAGACCAGAAGAGAAGTTTTTGACTAGTGTAGTCAAGATTTTCTCGTATAGATACTGACAGCTTTTCATGTAATAATTAAAAAATATTTAACATTAAAAATACGTCATTATCACAGCTTATTTAGTATCAGCTGGCCATCTTGCTTGTAATAATTTTTTCACTGATAGTAACGTGTCCTTGAATATATCTAATTATTAGCGGGCGATGCACTTGGATTTTGAGTGCATCGAATTTTTGGCATACGTTTATACGCCATGTTAAAAAGTTAAATCATATTATATCGGAATAAGCCTCTTGTGGTGGATACTCCTGTAAAGTTAGTATCAGTAGAAAATTCATTACATAAAATTGGTGGCAGCGGTGGGATTTAAGTCTAACGGAAAAATAATTAGTTTTTTCCAGAGAAAGGGTTTCAGTTTTGAAAAAAATAGCAAATTAACGGCGAACACGAAACACGAGGACCTCCAAACAGGCTAAGGTTGTTATCTAGGCTGTAAAATAATCCGTTACATGTTATTTAGTATCCGCGTTTTATTTCTGATACACTTGCTGACAGTTAGTGCACCAGTCTCGCTGGTTTTTATAAACAAAGCATCAAAAGAGCTTAGAATCCGACTTGTTATATAACATAAAAGATAAGCAAATATCTAGATAGGCACGCAGAGTTTCTTACGAGAGATTGTCGCAATAGTCGCGAGGCTGATTATGAATAGGCTGTGATTTTTGTACTGATAATTTATCGTTTAACAATAACGATAATAATGTTAATTTGTATTGGTATGGGTTGCAAATTGTGAAACATTTTTTTAGGGTTTGTTGTATCAAGAAGGAGGGGATTAAGCATATCAGAGGATGGGGAGATATGTAAGCTTACATGTTTTGGAGTTTAATTTTTAGCACTGTTTACATGATTCTTGAGTGTTTTATATTCATCATCATTCATGTTAAATTCATTATTATACCGGGTGTTTAAAATTTGATTATAACCATTGACTATATCCCTCGGGAACGGTAAAATACAGGGATGTTCACCACATACGACACGGAGTATTGTAGCTAAACGATTATATTTTTACAAATTTCAAGTTTTGAGTTCGATGAAGGACTATTAGAGGTACAATTTAAAAATAATTTACAAGATACAGAGTGTTCCAAATAAGTAAAAAATATCAAAGTTGTATTTTTTTAAAAGGAACACCCTGTATATTATTACATTTTTAGTTTCTACGATTAAAATAAAGGTAAATTTGATTAAGGTTTATTACACTTAAACCTTACCGTTTTTGAAATATTTTCAATTTTGTGAAATTGCAGTAAAAATTTTAAGGCTTCATTTCTCCAAGGGTATCAAAGTTTTTAATACTAAATATTTACTGAAGTTTATTTATTGATCAGTTATTGTGTTGCAATAATAAAAATAATACTACCTTATACAGAGTGTCTAAAAATTTATTTTAAATAATTTATAGCTTTAAACGCCAATAACTTGTTTAATTTATATGGAACGCCCTGTATATTTTAGGAGAATCAGATGCACAATTTAATTGTCTATCAAATTGTATTATACCATTATTACCTATCCCTTCAAGTTTTCGTAGAAAATGCATTTTCTTATAATTTAGACCTCATTCATCAATATACCCATGGAATATTGACATTTTATTATTGACACCCACGGAATATTGACATCATATATTGACATTCTAGTAATATTATCGTTTTGCTAAAAACAGTAATGTTGTATGCAAAAAGAAAACTATTTAAATCTTTATAAAAGAGTATACCATTAATTAAATATAGCACCATTATTTCCGCCCATATACTAATTAATTACATACTTAATTGTATTCGTTAATAAATTATTCTAAATAAATGTGGATTTGAGTCAGAAATCAATATAATAATAAGTTATCAAAATTAAAGTTTCTATTGTTATAAATAAGCATTTATAAAAAAATGAAATATCATTTTTAAGGTGTTACTTTTTATCATACTGTCTAATACCCATACAAAATTCAGTTTTTTTAGTATTTAGAACAATTATTATTAATCAATGCAGTCAGTTAATGTAGTTTGAATACTGGAATCATATTAATTGGTCTTCTTTAACAAATATTTAAACAGTTTTTTTTTATTTTTTAATGAAATAAACGAATTATATCCACAATATTAGTATCTGTACTCTTTAAAAATTTGGTAAATCTTTAAAAATAACCTAAAATGTCAATATTCCATGGGTATATTGATAAATAAATTCTAAATTACAAGAAAATGCATTTTCTACGGAAACTTAAAGAGATAGGTAAAAAATGGTATAATATAATTTGATAGACAATTAAATTGTGCATCTGATTCTCGTAAAATATATAGGGTGTTCCATTTAAATTAAACAAGTTATTGCCGTTTGAAGCTAATAATTATTTAAAATAACTTTTTAGACCCTCTGTATAAAGTAGTATTATTTTTATTATTGCAACACAATAACTGATCAATAAATAAAATTCAGTAAATATTTAGTATTAAAAACTTTGGTACCCTTGGAGAAATGAAGCCTTAAAATTTTTACTGCAATTTCACAAAATTGAAAATATTTCAAAAACGGTAAGGTTTAAGTATAATAAACCTTAATCAAATTTACCTTTATTTTAATCGTAGAAACTAAAATGCAATAATATACAGGGTGTTCCATTAAAAAATACAACTTTGATATTTTTTACTTATTTGGGACACTCTGTATCTTGTAAAATTATTTTTAAATTGTACCTCTAATAGTCCTTCATCGAAACCAAGACTTACAATTTGTAAAAATCTCATCGTTTAGCTACAATACTCCGTGTCGTATGTGGTGAACAACCCTGTATACAGGGTAGCTTAATTTGAGGCAAAGTTGTTGCCTGTCGATAAGTCCAATGATAATCCTTTTAGCGATTGAACTTATTTTTGTCAGAAATGCACAGAAAAAAATAAATTTTTGAACCTTTATTTTGATAGCTAGAAAAAAAAACTATAAACTCATTTTCAAAGATGTCTGAAATAAAAATAAGAAAATATTTTTGGTTTCCTGACGCTGAACTTTTACCATTTACCTGTTAACTAACCAGGCTTGTAGGTGATTAATGTATATATCTTTGTCCTGGTTTTCTCTTCCAGTGGCAAAAAATCCAGATATTTTTCATTCATTTCCAAGCTTGTTATAATAAAATTACCTTCTTGTCTTTTGCTTTCCCTGTTTCTCCCTAGATATTGAAAAAAAAATTCTGAAACCCTAATTACGAAGAGATTTATTTAAGAGACAAAAATACAAATGCGGTTGTTTTTAAAATGCGATATTTAACATTTTTTGTACCTTTCAGTCATCATTAAATACTGTTTTGCATGAAGTTTGAATCAATATAAACGCTGCTTTAACTGCATATATTTTATTTGAACTACTTAAAAGTAAACTTTCCTTAGAATTTTGAACTTGTGGCAAATACTGAACGCGCTCGCATGATTGGTTTCATTCATTCATAAATTAGATTCTTCTTTTTTCATTTCTCTGACTTTTAATCATCGCATCATATTTTTTCAGCCACCTGGGACAATTGTAAGAGTTTAATTAAACATCATTTCTTGCAATTTTCAATTCTTATTTTATTTTTTATGTGTTTGGACTTGACTTTAAAATATTTCTTCTCTTCAATATTTTGAATGTTTTAGCTCGAACAAAATCTGTTGAACGTTGACAGCATCCGTTTTGATGTTTAAAGAACAATTAATTTTGAATTAAGATTTATAAAGAAGTTTGTTTTTTTTCAAGGCACTCCACCCGCACAGAGGGTTCAGTTTATCCTGGGTGAAGATATTGGAGATGATAAATACGAGAGTCACCCTCTGTTTTCCGAAATGGAGGAACTGGTGGTGGATGGTGATGAAATGGAGTGGAAAGAGACAGCCAGATGGATCAAATTTGAGGAAGATGTCGAAGAAGGTATGATAATAATAAGAAACAAAAGTACTATCTTATAATAAGAGTTATTGAAATTTTATTAATAAATTTGAAAACAAAGTTTTCATAATTTTATAAAACATGAGACACATTTTATTTAGGTGGAAATCGATGGTCTAAACCTCACGTTGCTACTCTATCTCTACATTCCCTCTTTGAACTTAGAAGTCTTCTACTAAACGGATCAGTCATCTTAGACATGGATGCTACCACGATAGAGCAGATTGCTGACCTGGCTTTGGACAGCATGATAAACAATAACAGGTACAGTGGCTGCCTATATCCTAGGGAAATCCCATGCAAGTTTTAAAAACCATAAACAAAAGTTCCCCCCATTTTACTCTACAGGAAAGTTTGTTTCGAATTTTTTCAAGAACTTATTAAAATGGAACATATTGTTTTTTTGAATAGCTTCTACGATTTCTCGTAGTTGTGGAGAGTCTTTTGTATTGTTATAACTTATTAACATACAGTTTTGAGGTTACAATAATTTTCAATTTTTAGGTTGCCAATTGACAAAAAAGAAAAAGTAAAGGATGCTCTTCTAAAACGACATAGACATCAGCACCAAAAAGGTCACAAAGGATTGCCCTTCATCAGGTCTCTGCAAGAAATCGGAAAGAACTATTCCACATCCAAAAGTAAGTGTTCTATCACATTTTTTCTCAATTTTAATGGACCGTTTTGTATAATTTAATAAATTATTCATATCCAAATTCTGCGTTGAAATTTTAGGTGGTTGTTTTACTTTAAACGGCAACAGGAGATCTAGAAAATCCAAATCGTATCTAGCCAATAATAGGGCTCAAAATTTCGAACAAGGTTAGAAAAAAAAAATGAAAAAATTGGTTGTGGGTAATATAATTGTTCTGTGGTTTACACGGTCTCTATACTAACACTGCCACTTAACAAAAAATAACATTTAATGTTGCTTTAGTGTTTTTTGTGAAACATCGTTATTAAATTCGTTGTACTATAAATAAGAAAATAAATACAATTGTTTTAATAAATATCTTATAATTAAATGAAAACGACGTTAGAGTAAGAATGGCATTTCCGATATAATATTTCGACGCCTACCTCGACGTCATTTTTATTTAATTATACGGTAAGGAAGAATCTTACTATACTTGAAAACTGAGTATTATTTTTATTGTTAGCGGAATATACCGAGCATATACAGGGGTTTACAACATGGTTTACATTGCGACAGTCTCCAAAAGGTAGAGACAAACAAGGTTTTTCTTATGTGTATTGTGTCTCACTTCTTTCACTGATATTTGTTAATGATGATGGCATCTTGTAAAGTACTTTATTTTATTTTCCTTTTCAAAATTATGTTTTGATTCAAATGCAACGAGGCTTTGGAAACTATACATGCACAATTATCTTGTAGTAGGCATGTATCGATATTTCTTTGAATTCACGAATTCTACAACTGAAAAAATTATATCAACTATGTGTCAGTCAAGGTATATCTATTTTGAGATTGTACACTGACTAGTTAATGTATACAGGAGATTCTTAATTTAATTTGTTTTGTCATTAAGAACTAGAATTGTATTTTAAATTTTTAGTAAGTTATTTTTTTGAAAATTTTTGTATGTTAATTGTTAATAAGGAATAAATACTGGTTAGGACGAGTTGTCATTGTCAAGACATCTAGTGATAGGCACAGAACAAAAAAGACATGTTTTTTGAAGCCTACTTTAACGTCCTTTTTTATTCAATCATACTATATATTTATTTTCAAAAAACTTGTTAATGTGTATGTTGACTAGTCAGTGTATATTCTGAAAAAATGTTATTCAATAATTCTAATAATCGTTTTATAAATAATTTTGCAACCTATCAATTATTTTTTTCTTTAAAAACTTCGATTTTCTTTCTTTTAAAGTTGTAAGAGTGTAATATACTTACGGATTTAAAAAAAAACATTAATTATTACCTCAATTATAATTTTGAGGAATGTAAAGCTTGGCCTATTGTGACTGAATTCTTACCATACGTTTTTTCTCAATAATTTCTAATTCTATGCACTTAAATATAGTTTTAAATGTTAGTTTTCTTGTTTTAAACTGATTATTGAATTTTGCTTCGGCTTTTCAGTTGAAGAGAATAGTTTTTCCGAACAGTCTACAGGAAAATCTTCAGATTTCGGAAAATTTCTGTCTGTTCCAGGACAGGGTAAATAAATATAATTTTATTGCACAAATTATTCTTGATTTTTTTAATGTTGTTTAGCGTGTTATTACAGTACATGTTTGAGTTTGACTTTTGCATTTATTAGTTATTTTTTATACAAGACAATATTAATTTGAATTAATTTCGAGATTGTATAAAACAAAATTTTTTTCCATAGCGAGTTACGTTTTAAAAAATATTCAGAATTTATTATTTCAAGGAATTTATTACGAGTAGAAAAAATATTGTGCTGGGTTGGCGTTGGTTTCTATGTAATTTGACAAATAAATAAAGCTGTCTCTTTAGTTGTCAGTTTTGAGTCAATATTTTTTAATTCTCTTTCATGTCGATTGCTGATTGAATTGGAGCCAGAAATGGCTCAAAAAGAAATAAGTAAATTACCAACAGATATTCAGGTTTGAAAGGAATACAAAAATTTCCAAAAATGGAAGTAATTAAAATTCGTGCGAGAGGAAATAAAGTTTTTAACCTATCCTAGCTGTTAAAGTATCATTTAATCTAGGGTTAAAGTACTATTTTATCTACTATTTTTGATAGATATGAGGCAATTTTAACAGATGCTATGGAAAAAAACATACAAAATGAATTTGGTTTAATTTAGTATTTTTTTAGTAATTTTTTAATTTGTTTTGATGCAAATGATAACAGCCAGATTGACAAATATTGTCAATAAAAATTTACAATGACGATTTCAATCATTTTTGGTCGATCCGTATAAGCATTAACGGTGGATGTGCGAAAATGCTTTACCTGAATGTGCTGCATTCGTAACTAAAATAGCATAGCTATCGATTGAGCTGTATATTGATGCTTTGGTTTAATCTGGCTAATTAAAGTGTTTCAAACTGTTTAAAAATTTATGATATTAAATGTTTTATAGGGATTTAGTGCTTGCACTGCATGATTTTCGCATTTAGAAATTAATGTTAATTTGCTTTTTAATTGTATAATATTTATTTTAGTTTGTAGAAAATTGTGTTTGATATTATTTGTAACTATTTTTTAAACTAGCTTCTTATTTCTTGTTTTTGTTTCAATAACTATGTCACATTAAACTTAATATATCAAATTGTCAATTTTTCTAAAATATATACCTTTTTAACTCATAATTTAGGGCAAGACAAACCACAGAGACTACTAAAAAGTGCCAGCAACGTCTCTATCACAAGAAACCAAAGCGGTACCGACCTGGGTTCTAACGGTGAACTCCCCCAACATAACTTAGCTTTCATGAGGAAGATCCCCCCAGGAGCGGAGGCCAGCAATATTCTGGTGGGAGAGGTGGATTTCTTGGAGAAAACCGTATCGGCCTTTATAAGGTTGAACAAGGCCCAAGTTCTGGGAGATTTGACGGAAGTACCTGTTCCTACGAGGTTTATGTTTCTTCTGCTTGGATCCAGCAATTCGACTTTAGGTAAGGGATGAAGAATTTTGATACTTTTTTGTGTCCGAAAGTAACCTTTACTCGGTTACTCACTAACCGCGCTTGTTTTCGAGAGTTAGTGTCTTTTATGCTACTATTCCAATGCGAGTAGTCAGAACCACAACTTATTCAATACCAGCTGGTCAGCTGGGCTTTTTTGAGTGTACCTGTGCCTCAACTGCTGCATTTATTCTCGTATACATGCCACAAATGATTTTTATAACCTGGAGCTTAGACAGAGCAAAATGTCCATCGAATTCAGTCAAAATTTAAAATTATGTTAAAAGTTAACTAGTGGAAGCAAAATGATACTAAGATAGTTATTAAATGAGTAGAAGTTTTTCAGCATTTTGCTTCGGAAGATATTTCCTACTTCAACTTAAAAAAAATATTGAATTTTGCTTGTCTTCCAGAGATTAATCTCATACTGAAACTGTATTTACAGTGGTCAATAAGTTGTAGATAAGTACAGAAAAGACAGACTAATTATCTCTACCTTTAATATGTATGGTAATTACAATATGCAGAATGATCGGCGAATATTTTGTTAATGAAAAATAGCTTCAGAACCTAATTTGAAATATAACTTAAGGTAAAGGAGTATCTATGTAGGATCAAAAATTTCAATATAAAGTCAGCAACATACTTACAGTTTTCCCTCAAGGCAAAACTGCGCAATCGATGCCTTGAGGAGGACCTAGACACGGAATGAGATTATACTTCAGTTCATTCTTTTTTGGTCTTTATCATACACGTTGAGGAATATCACAAGACTTGGACAGCGCAGTTCAAACCTTGAGGAAAAACTGAACGTGTGTGGCTACTTTAAAAGACCATGGCTGGTACTGATAAGCTCAAGAGTTAAGCTTGATTTTCATGCCTCTGTTCAACGGACATACGATTTGCTTTGTGATTGGTGTCATTTTATATTTTCATTTTCTTAACGATTTCGCTGTTTTACTTATAGTCAAAGAGCTAGCAACGTTTTTGAGAGAGAATTTTAAGAAAGCTCATTCTTTAATATATTTTTTGCTATGCTCTCCTGAACAGAGTGCGGACCGTCTGACTGCGGGTAGACGTTGCGTTCACTACTACGCATCATATATGTATTCAACATCTGTTTACTACTGCGCATCACAAATTTGCCCTGTATTTCAGGAACTAAGGAGGATAGGACAAATATATGTGTAGCATATTTAGTTTCATAAAAAAGTAGCAAAGTAACGTGAAAATCTCATCATTGTATCTCTACTATAAACGAGAAATCCTATAAACCACACGAAAATGGGATACCCTGACCAGATGTGATGCGCAGTAGTCTACCGGCAGCCAGACGGTCCACACTTTGGTCAGGAGAGCACAGCAAAAGATATACAGGGTGGTCCGAACTGTATTCCGGAAACTTCAGCAGCATATAAACAGATAAAAATAAGTAAAAAAGTTCTTATAAATGTATGTACCAAAATGCTTACTTTCGGAGATACAGGGTGTAGGAGTTTCATTTTTATTTCGATTTTTTCCAAATAATTTCTGAAGTAACATCAGTATTTGGATGAAATTTGGTGTCTGGGAGTTTTTTGATATGAGAAATTCGATTTTGATGTCAATATGGCTCCTACTTATAGAGGGCGCCACCTACATATTTTTTACTGGTTTGAAGAGTAATAACTTTTCGTCCGTAACTGTATAAAACTACTAAGTCAAAAAATGTACATTTACGACGTTTTTAACGTAAAAAAGATCTCTTAGTAAAAATCGCTACGAGTAATAGTTCTTGAGATATTTGAAATCGAAATTATCAATACCTGTCATCATTGACATAAATTATAAACATGTTGACTAAATAGTTAATAAACGGAAATCATAAATTTGAAATGTTTTTGTGCCAAATCATCATCAATCATCATTTTTTCGAAGAAAATTTTATGATTAATTTAACAAAATAAAAATTTTCCAAATTTATCTTTGTAGTCAAATAACTATATCTACTCAACATGTTTATTTTTTGTCAATAATGACATATATTGACTATTCCCATTCTAAATATCTCGAGAAGGGTTGCTCGTAACGATTTCTACTAAGAGACATTTTTTACGTAAAAAAATACAAAAATGTATATTTTTTCACTCAGCAGTTCTATACAGGTACGGACAAAAAGTTATTACTCTTCAAAACAGTTAAAACCTTTGAATAAGAAGACTAAGGAAGGAGCATAATGCTATCCATGTATTCATGCATGGTGGGCGGAAAAGCCACCATAAAAGCTCTCTAGGGTGGGGATCCTTGACAGTTCTGTTTGACGATTCATTTGACACATTTGAATTTGATTTGAAATTTTGTGGATTTGTCAGTCTTTACGGAGCTTATTTTATGTTATTTATTATTTATTCTACTACTGATAGTTGTATAAAGGTAGTAAATCTAGATGGAAATTGTGGCAGAACTTAAATTAACAGTGACACTATCGCGATTTATGAAAAAGACTCTAAAATAGTTGGTTGTGTAGCGTGCGGTAAAATCTCGGCAAAAACTGAGTGAAATAATGGAACAACTTTTCGCTAGTAAGTGACTATATAATATACTTACGTGTAGTAAACCGATCATTTATGAAATTCACTTAAATTAACTAAATTATATATTTTTCTTGCATTTTAGCTTTTATTTATTACTGTCAAAGATTAGATGTCAAAGAATTTAGATACGCTAATTTGACTTACCTGCTTCAGTAGCGTATCGGATGTTTGTGTTAATAAATACTTATTATAACTTATCTATTTTTATTAGAATTATATATTTTTATAACAATTTTAATAACTACCAACATTTATTCACAACGTAAAATAAAACAACAAATTATTGAGTCTACCCCACGTCTACCCTACATCATGTTTTACATTTTTTAAATATGGGACACCCTGACCAGATGTGATGCGCAGTACTCAGCCAGAAGGCTCACACTTTGGTCAGGAGCTAGCTCTTGTACTATAATATTTTTTATTAGTGTCGCAAAATAGCTATAACCAATCAGAGCGTAGTCGGACCATCGTATCAACGGATAACGGATGCAAGAAAATCAAGCTTTAGCCGTAAATAATACTATTTTTTGTTTTGTTTGTACATAGGTCATCATGAAATCGGCAGGGCAATGGCCACGTTAATGTCAGACGAAGTATTCCATGAAGTGGCGTACCGAGCGAAAAACAGAAGTCACTTATTGGCCGGGGTGGATGAATTTCTGGATGCTGTAAGTGAATAATAGCATCGATTGAGGAAAGGAAGATGCGCAACCGTATACAAAAAAAATATTTATTCCGACAATGTTGCCAGTAACTTTTCGAACATCTTTTATGGCAGGAATTTACCCATAAGGTTGCGCATTTTATGTTTTCCTTCTGTCAACGATAGTATTGTTTAAAAATAATCCTAAGACCGCAAACACGTGGATATTTTTTAGGTTACTGTACTACCTCCTGGGGAATGGGACCCTGCAATCAGAATCGAACCACCGGCAGCCATTCCATCTCAGGATATAAGAAAACGGCCTCCAGAAAAAGTACCTGACGAAGTCGATGAAGAGGAAGAAGAGCAGAAGATAAGGTAATAATTGTTAGTAGACAAGCAATGTAACATGTAAAGGTGCGTATTCATTATCCGAACGAACGAACGAACGAATGAAAGTGCGGTATATTTAGACGGGGACCGAACGCATGCGGCCGTTTGTTCGGTCGTGCGCTCGACCATCCGCTTCGAGTCGGTACATCAAAGGCGTTCGCCTGCGTGCGCTTTCAGATTTAAGGTGCGTATTCATTATCCGAACGAACGAACGAATGAAAGTGCGGTATATTTAGACGGGGACCGAACGCATGCGGCCGTTCGTTCGTTCGTGCGCTCGACCATCCGCTTCGAGTCGGTACATCAAAGGCGTTTAGACGTCATGGTACAAAGAATACAAGGTATGATCGATAGCGGCTCCAATTTCGTTCAGTTCGCGCATACCACCTGTGACGTCACTAGGAAAATAATGAATAAATAAAAATAAAGAAAGTTGACAGGAGATCTGCATTTTTGAGGTTATGGTTAAGAATTGTTTATTTTAAGACTTTTTAGTTCGTTTAATTTAATAATTACTAAAACCAGCAGTTCCAAAATATATTTAAAAATAATAATTATCTATTAACATGGATTTGGACGATAATAGGTAAAAATACTAAATTTATTTCTATATTCGGTATAAAATTGTTTATTAGGTTTTTAGTTTGCGATGTTTATGGTAAATAATTTTCATTTTTATTGCCTCTGAATTCACATGAGGACAGAGATGAGGATATCTATGGAAAAGTAACCACAAGAGGAATTGTTACATCATTAGTAGAAAATGCCAATGCAGATGAACGTATTGTAATTGTGAGAAGTAATTCCAAGGGTGAAGTTTATTATAATTAGTGGAAGTAATACCAAGGGTGAAGTTTATTATAATTAGTGACCTGTGCTTCTTTTTATATGTAGATGTTTCTGGTTTTGAGAATAAATCGGTTGAACCACACCCAAAATTTAAAGGAAGTATTTGCATACCCAGAATATGCCCATCAAGGGTTATATAGCTCAAATTTCCTTTAATGGTAGGCAATTATTCAATGCAAATTAACTTTTAAGCGACTGAAATATTAAATAGTTTACAATATGGTATATCACTAAAAATATATTACTTTTAGGTACAATTAGGGGCCCGATACATTTCAAAAAGTAGAATATTATTTTATATTAAATGAGGTATTGTACTAACAATCAATTTATATTAATAACGGAGATTAAAAAATAACAGAATAAATAGTTCTTTTTCTTATACTACAAAAATAAACTATAGAATACAACAGTATTTAAAAAAAATAAAAGTGATGTTCCGGCCGAGATTCGAACTCCGGTCTCTCGCTTCCTAGCCCGACTCCTTATGCACTGCTCCATAGTAACTTGCTTAGCGATAATTCAATGACGGTATATAAACAAAAAAAAAACAGGTTTATAACAATATCTTGACGATTTGAACTGGCGCGCGAATGAAGAAATGCGTGCGGTCTTCTCGTGCGGTTCTATCGTGCGGTCCCCGTCCATACCACTAGCGAACATTCGTTCGTTCGTTCGTTCGTTCGTGCGGATAATGAATACGCACCTTAACATGCAATATAGAAATACAAACCTAAATTAGTGCCCTCAAAACCGTCCTTTCCGTGAATAGATTTTCAGATTAAATCATATTAAATGCTTCTCTATACAATGTCCTAAAATGAAAATTCCGGTTTCAAGTAATTTATGGCATAATTAAAAATAATTTGATTAGGAATATAATGGCAAGGGTCAGAAGCTCTGTCTAAAATTAAATTTTAACAACCATTAGCTTTGCGTGGAGCATTTTGTATTTTGTATCCATAACTTTTGGTTATGTGGTAAACTTTTTTTTAATTACGTTTAAATTTGTACACGTATAATTAAGAATAATTAGAGGTAGAACATTTATTTTAAAACAAAATTTATATTATTGAATGTTGTATTTATTAATATGGTTAAATTTTTAAAAATTATACCCCGTAGCCAAAGAACGGACAGACGTACACTGTACTTATTAACCTTATTGTAGGTGAATTAAATAAAAATAACCTGTTGTTACATTTCATTTATTATCAATTTTAGAGAAGAATCTGGCTTAGCCAGAACAGGAGTCCTTTTCGGTGGTCTCCGAAACGACATCAAACGAAAAGCACCCTGGTATTGGTCAGATTTCAAGGACGCCCTCGCATCCCAATGCATAGCCAGCTGGATATTTTTGTATTTCGCTTGTCTCTCGCCCATCATCACTTTTGGAGGCTTGTTAGCCGAAGCAACAGGTAAAGTTTGGCTTGGATTCAAACTTGTTGAGCACCAACTGTATTATTGTGTATTTTTATCCAACAGGAAAACATATGGCAGCTATGGAGTCGTTAGTCTCTGGATTCGTGTGTGGAATGGGATACGGGTTCTTTTCAGGTCAACCTCTTACTATTCTGGGTTCAACAGGTGAGTACTATACAGGGTATTTCATTTTGGTTGAAATCAAACGGTATCTCAGTTATTAGTAAAGATTAGTGGCTCCCAAAATAAAACAAAATGGCAGATAGCAGTATACTTTTAATAATTCTTTGTTTTTTTTTATTATAGTAGCAGTAAATAGTGAAAATAAATATAGAGTGATATATATTTTTGAAAAGCATATGGCAAGCCAGATCATATAATTTATAAATATACAGGGTGTTCCATTTAAGAAAACATAACTCTAGTTCATATCAAAATAACAGACTACAACACTGTAATCTACTGTAAAAAATTCTACAACAGACAGGTTTTACCTTCTCGATACAAGAAGAGAGATACAGGGGGTGTTCAAACTGCAAAATGTTCAAAAACCTTGTAGCTCAGAAACGAATCTTCCGTTTTACAAAAAAGTAGGACAGGTTTGTGCAAACCTCGCCCTTGTGTCTTCACGAATAACGCAGATACCGTATGATATCAACTAAAATGGGACACCCTGTACAGTCAATGGTCAATCGCTCCGAATTATATTTCAGATAATTTTTGAATAGATAGAATTGATAGAACTTATTTGATAAAATAATAAATATTTCTCTTTTAGGACCTGTATTAGTGTTTGAGACGATAGTGTACGATTTTTGCCAGAGGATCGGTTGGGATTATATGTCTTTTAGGTTTTGGATCGGTACCTGGATAGCTATAATTTTACTTATTCTAGTTGCAATTGATGCTAGTGCACTTGTTTGTTACATCACAAGATTCACAGAAGAAAATTTCGCTACTCTAATCGCATTTATATTTATTTATAAGGTATTTATCTAGCTCATAAGTCTTTCTTTCATATCTTCTTTTGTTAGTGTTTGTTTGACATTATTTCTTTAGTCTTTCTAATCAGTGATTTTTATTTATTCTAATTTGTCGTAATTGACTGTAATAATTAATGCACACATTGTTTTATATTAAATTAAACAATTTTTTGACATTTTTAGGCTGTAGAAAACGTTTTAGCAATAGGTAAGAAGTATCCAATCAACACTTCAGGCCTCCAGAATATATCCTACGATTGTTCTTGTCTGTTAAATGATTCTGTCCAGGCGAACCATCCAGAAATTAGCGACTGGTCGGCTTTGAACAAAACAATATGCACAGTAAGTAGCTAAATAAATAGATTAAACATTAATCAAAATACACTTTCCCAATAAATTAACGCACCACAAAAAAATATCCAAAAGTTTAAGTTAAGTTTTTGTCAAAACCACTTCCGATTTGGACGTTTTTTTTTGAATGATAGGTTATCCTTTCCACAATGTTGCTGTACTAACTGTATTTTGATAGGAACCCCCTTTTCGAAAGTATTTTTATACAGGTACAGACTATAAAAGTTATTTCTCTTCAAAAGAGTTAAGACACATGTAGGTGGCGCCCCCTACAAATAGGAGTCATATTGACATCAAAATCAAATTTCTGATATCAAAAAACTTCCAGACACCAAGTTTCATCCAAGTATTGACGGTACTTCAGAAATTATTTGAAAAAAATCGAAATAAAAATCAAACTTCTACACCCTCTGTATCTCGGAAACTACGCATTTTAGGACATACATTTATACGAACTGTTTTACTTATTTTTATATGCAGAATATGCTGCCGAAGTTTCCGGAATACAGTTCGGAACACCCTGTAGGGAATACTCAAGTATGATTCATGTATGCAGTTTCAAACTATTTGTTTTTTCCAGACATTAAATGGGACAATTGTTGGTTCTGGCTGCGACACTCCGCAATACGCTCCAGACGTGTTCCTCATGTCCATCCTGTTGTTTTTAGGCACGTTTTTGATATCGGTAGAACTGAAAGAATTCAAAAACGCCCTATTTTTCCCTTCAAAGGTAAAAAGCACACGAAAATAACTGTAAGTATGGCATAATTATTCCCTTGTTGTTTGTAGGTCAGACAATTTGTCAGCGATTTTGCCGTTATTATAGCTATTATTTCCATGACTCTGATGGATCTCTTTGTCAACATTCCTACCCCGAAATTGCAGGTAAAAATATATAGTTTATAAACTAGAAAAAGAAAGTTGTTCGATTAAAAACATAAAATTTTTGATGACAATTTATTTTAGAAAAAATAATGTTAAAAATCAATGAATACATTCGAATTGTGTCTTACACTGCGCCATAATCCACTTTTACAATTATTATACTCAATGAATTTTTTTTTCGGTTTCTTTTTTTTCCTGTTTTTCTTTTTTTCTGTTTTTTCTGTTTCATTTGTTTATTATTATTTTCTAGGTTCCTCACGAATTTAAACCCACGCTTCCAGACAGGGGCTGGATTATTCACCCCTTCAACAACAATCCCTTTTATTCAATTTTTCTGGCACTGCCCCCAGCTTTATTGGGAACCATATTGATTTTTATGGACCAGCAAATCACCAGTGTTATTATAAACAGGAAAGAGTACAAGCTGAAGAAGGGCTGTGGCTATCATTTAGATTTGTTCATTTTGGCCATATTAATACAGATTTGTACGGTGAGTATTTTTTTTAATGTAATAATAGAGAAAAACGGTATACGGCCGAGTCGGCCGCTCCTGGCACGTATACGTAGACGTAAAGAATCTTTTACGTGTATAAAAAATAGAAAATATAAGAAATGCGCATGCGTACGTAAACGTTTACGTGTTTGTAGGCCGACTCGACCGTATACCGTTGTTCTCTAATATCAAAATTTATATAGGGTCCAGCAACAGTGCCTCCGGTATCTGTAGGTCCTATAAAAAAGAACTCGTTGGAACTTGTTTGATTGTACACTTAAAGTATGTACTAGGGCCTATTTTAGGAAAATATTTTAATTTCTAGGATCGAGATGATTTTTTTAAAAGAACACCTTGTATATTATTGCATTGTTGGCTTTCTTTCAAACCAATTTACATAATTCTACGATATGAGTAAATATATTTCGATAGTTGCAGAGATATGCACCTTGTAGAAGTTTTGTCGCCCTGTAAACTCTATGTAATCAATCAGCATTTCTAAAGTAAATTTTTCGTGAAAAAAAAATATATACAGATTGTTAACTGGACGGTTACTTATTGAGGAACAGAATTGCAACACTGCCTGCATTCTAAATGAGTACTAAGCTAAGCTGCCGATTCGTCCCGTCGCGTCGTCTCTCGACGAGCGGGCCGAGGTTGCCATATTTCAACCATTAAGCTCTTCCAGCGAGTAATAAACAAATTAACAACCTGTATTTTCAGACAATGGGTCTGCCTTGGTTTGTTGCTGCTACAGTGTTGTCAATAAACCACGTAAATTCCTTGAAACTAGAGTCGGAGTGTGCAGCTCCTGGTGAAAAGCCGCAATTTTTAGGAGTACGAGAGCAACGGTAAGTCCAAAAAGAAAATACTCATCACATTTTTGATACTTTATTTTATGTTCCGGATAGTTAATAATTACAGTTAACTGGCATTAATTAGTAATAATAAAGTGTGTTTTTCGCTTTCAGAATGACGCATATTCTCATTTTTTTGACAATCGGCTTGTCAGTGTTCTTAACACCAATGTTAGGGCACATTCCTATGCCTGTTCTGTTTGGTGTGTTCCTCTACATGGGAGTAGCGTCTCTTAAAGGACTGCAGTTCTTCGATAGGATAATGATAATGTTCATGCCTAATAAGTATCAGCCTGATTATATGTTCTTAAGACAGGTAAATATCACTAATATAATAACATAATATTAATCATTATTATTAAGATTCATATTTTTCAATTTTCACTGTAACTCAAGTTCTGACACAATGTCATGCCAGATTTATATGCTTTACATAGAACAAATTATAAAATAAACAAGAAATAATAGAGACATATCAACTCGTAAACTTCAAAATTGTGAAAAGAAGAGTTAAACAAAACTATCAAAGAATCACAAGAATGTGACACTTTGTGACAGAAAGAGCCTTAAAAAAGTGATACATGTTTACATGTTTAGAAAAAAATATTAATAAAAATATTGTTTCTATGTTCTAGGTTCCTCTAAAGAAAGTCCATCTCTTCACAGCCATCCAGTTGGCCTGTCTGATCTGTTTATGGTCAATCAAATCCTTCAGTACCACCTCCATTCTGTTCCCGCTCATGTTGGTCGTCATGATCGGCATCCGAAAATCCCTAGACTTCATTTTCACCAGGCGGGAACTCAAAATACTCGATGACGTCATGCCGGAAATGACGAAGCGGAACCAGCTGCTGAAGGATGAAGAGGTGGGCATCTGCTGCGGCAAAATAACCAGGTTCTTTCTGGGACCCAAGTTGGTCAAAAAAGAACATCACTTGTATGAGAAATGTTCGATGAATGAGAAGGAATCGATAGCGTAATTGAATGATTGTATGATGTCATGGGTTTATTCAATATTCAGCTATTGTACCTGGTAGTAGCTAAATTCCTCCGGCTGCTTTAACTACGATAGCGATCATAGTTTTATGCACTGATTTTGCTAGTTGGGACATAACGATTTTTTAAGGGTACCTAATTATAATTTTAGAACACGTCGCGTCCATAAAGAATTTAAGCGCTATTAGTTGATTAAAAAGAAGTAAACTATTAATGTTGATTAAATCTTATCCTCATAATATATGCCTATATTTATCTGAGGTGCAGAAGATAAAAGGGAGTTCTGGCTGCGTATTGAATAACCTGTGATTGAATTTAGTTTTTTTCACACGTTTTGAACACGCACAAATAGGAACTGTTACTTGTGAAAGTTAAAATAAGAATAAAACTTTTCAGAAAAAATGTTTAGCATTTTTTAAAAATTTAAAGTTAGGAGAAATAATTGATAGTGATCTCTGTTAATAAATATTTGTTGTTTTAATGAAACAAAAATATTTAGGGACATTTATAGTACAGTATTAATTTTTTTAACGCTAAAATTGATTAATTTATCTATAGGATATTTTAAATTAATTTTATTGATAACTTATAAGGGCAAAATGTATCACTGTATCATATTTTTTGAAAAATTTTATTCTTTAAAATATGAATTGTATACCATTTTTTAAGCAAAAAATCCGATTTTATAGATATTATACTGCCAAGGATACATTATCGTGCAATTTTTAACTTATATTTATTATATTTAATCCATTATAATACTAATAGAAGCAAGATTAATATAAATAAATGTAACTAATTATTTAGAACAATTTGCGTTGAATATTTATCACCACGTAAAATTTTGTGCCAAATCGGTTTTATGTTTGTTGCTCTTAGTTCAATTTGAGTGTACTTAAGCCTAATACAGAGTTTTTTTTGGATAGTTTGGTTTTAAATCATGAACATTTCATTAGATACAACACACTTTCGTTTTGGAATTTTAAAATGCTTAATTCTATTGGTAAAATTAAATATTGCACGTTATATACCGATGCACAGTATTGGAGTATGATCAGTTTACCATAAAACACATTTAAATAAACAACAATATATTTTATGGATTGCTACCTATACAGGGTGTTTCAAAACAAATGCGAAAAACTTCAGGGGGTGATTCCTTGTTCAAAATAAAGGGTAGTTTGCTTTATAAACGTTGGGTCAAAAGTCAACCATTAAGGAGATATCGCGGTACAAAGATGGCGGAAAAATAATGTTTTTATTTTTTATCTTGAAAACGAAAAGAGATAGACTAATGAAATTTTACGGAAGCATTACTGTTATGAAAACACACTTTCTGGTAATTTTTTCACTTTTTTAAAATGAGTGGAAGGGGTTGAAATAAACTACCTCTATCATTCTTGTTAATGAAATTTAAAGAAAAATCTTATCAAACACATGCAAAAATAATTAATTTTGATAGTTTAATTTATTTAGAAACTTTTTTATCTCTTGTGTTTTTTTGATAAAACAACGATTTGAAATTAAAAAATAAAATGTAAAGCATTACATGTCAGGACAAAAAACATTTTTAGATAAAGAATCTAGTGATAATAATGATAATAATAATAATCTAGATAAACAACAATATATTTTATGGATTGCTACCTATACAGGGTGTTTCAAAACAAATGCGAAAAACTTCAGGGGGTGATTCCTTGTTCAAAATAAAGGGTAGTTTGCTTTATAAACGTTGGGTCAAACTTTATAAACGTTGGTAAAAGGATAAGATTTTTCTTTAAATTTCGTTACCAAGAATGATAGGGGTAGTTTATTTCAACCCCTTCCACTCATTTTACAAAAGTGAAAAAATTACCGGAAAGTGTGTTTTCATAACAGTAATGCTTCCACAAAATTTCATTAGTCTATCTCTTTTCGTTTTCAAGATAAAAAATAAGAACATTATTTTTCCGCCATCTTTGTACCGCGATATCTCCCTATTGGTTGACTTTTGACCCAACGTTTATGAAACAAACTACCCTTTATTTTGAACAAGAAATCACCCCCTGAAGTTTTTCGCATTTGTTTTGAAACACTCTGTATACACACGGCAGAGTCCACGTGGATTTGACGAGTACGACACAATATATTATATTGGCTACTAGCAAATTTGTCAAATTTTTATTGACGGGACGCGTTGTCTAATTTTTTACGAGAAAGATCGATTGAAACGGTAGTAGACCGAGCTTGCAGAACAGTGCAGTCCTTACCGGTACAATAGTTACGTAATTTTATTGATTTTTTATTGTTCTTCTTCTTAATTTTTTAATTTTTATAAAGATTATGTCTTATTTATGTGGAAAAACATTGAAAAAATAAAACTAGTATTATGATCTCATTAGGAAAGATACCAATGATTAAACTCAGTTATTCAAAAAATACTCTGTATAGCACAAATAGGCAGTTTGATGCAAACTATAATATATGTACTATATTTTATTAGGTGCATTTTAAGCACTATGATGATTATTATTATTATTAAATGTCGATGTTGTTTAGTCAATTTGTTTATTTTTGATATAGGGTCAATTGCGTAACATTAGTCAATTGAAATTTAGACAATTTTGTGATAAATAATTATAAATAATTGATACTTATTTTTTTAAATCGGGTTTTCTTATGAAGTATTTTTTTTAAATTAATGTTAAATTATAATATGATATTTTTAGTTTATTAGTAAAAAGTATTTCATAAGAATATCGATTTTTTTTTTGGATATGTTACAATTTGATATTTCAATTTAATTTTGTCTCGAGTTTTGTTAATTTTTTTAACTGATTTTAACAAGGTTTTCTAAACATGCTTATAGTTGCATTAAAGTTTATATTTTTGAATGATATAGATGACGAAAATCTCCCCAAAAAAATAGAAATATCAAATTGTGATATTATCTGTGTTTTAACTTATTTAGGAAATTATTAACATTTTCTTTTATTTTTGATCTAAAGCGTGATGTACACGTAACGACTTATCGTACGATTTGCTTGCGTGGACATAGCTTGCGTGTAAGATCCTTCATTTTGAAGGAAATCCTTCAATCTGGCAATCTGCTGGATCGACAAGTTGTTGTAATATGGACACAGCTTGGTCTGTATATACTTTTTGTCGACGCAGTCAAATCGTACGATAAGTCGTTGCGTGTGGACCACACTTTAAACAGACTTTATTAAAGATTTTAGTTTAAAAAACTTATCACGTTATAAATATTTGTTTTTTTTTACTTTAAATTGTTGTGATGTTTATTTTAATAAATCTCTCTATAGATTACACGTTTTTTTAGTTTTATTTTTTCACGCACATTTTTCTGTTTTTCTTTTTAAAATTCTCATCGTAAGCAATTTTAGTACTGGCATGTATATTCTTGTTAAGTCAGAACGTACAGGTCTGTTTTTTATTGCAAATCTTTCTGTGTTAGTATATACAGGGGTGGACCAAACTTAGTACTTTGGGTCTATATCGTATACAGGATGCTTTAAATTAGACTTTTACCATTGGGATCCCGGAAACAGTAATAAATAGAGACTGTTTCATATTGGAACAAAGTTATAAAAAAATCACAAATTTCAAAACTGTTTTTAATAATGCAACAATGCTTTTGGTAGACCGTCCCATGCCCAGAGTCGAAGATATAGTGCATAGAAATTCTGCCAGCTGCCCCTGACAAGCTGAAAAAAAAGACAAACTAATGTAGAAAGCTTTGCTATGAAGAACAAATCTTAAGCTTCATTCAGAACATTGAATTTCCAGATTCTGAACGAAGCTTTACATTTCACTGTATTCTCAATGTAAAACTAGCATGCTCTGAGATCGATATTCATCTTTTTTCCTTTTTCGGCTGTTCGTATGTTGGCGTTGGCTGTGATATGATTTTAGTGCATTAATAGTGCTGCAGAATTCACTATATAGTTTTGGTTACATCTTTTCATATTTTAAGTTAAGTATATACAGTTTAGGCTTGAACTATTCATAATATTGATCATATTATTGATATTATTAATTTTTATTATAGTAGAATATTTTTGGATTTTTGTTTACTAAAAATAAATAATGTATTTTTTTAGGTTGGTCAGGAGCCAGTTGAGTTGGAAAAGATTGATAAAAATATCAAAATTCCGTTGGCTAATGGAAACATAATGAATATTCCACTATCTTCTATTAATATTTCTGAAGAAGTGAACAAGACTGGCATTTGGAAGCAAGTGAATGATAACAGATCTAAAAGGGAGAAAAAGAGTACAAATGAGAAGAAAAAGAGGTACAAAATACTTTATATACTGTACCCGATCATATTTTTTGATTTTCGACTATTTTACTAAATGTATTACCCTATATATTCTAAATATATAGATATGTATAAAAATAGACTAACCCTATACATTCATTAATTTGTTTTGACTCAACATATACCAACAAAACGTAAAGAAGCACTTGTTTATTTACTCCTTTTTTTCAATATTTGACATCATTGGCGTATTTTTAAGGATTTTCATAAATACAGAAAAAGGTTGTAAGAGCCCCACACACCTTCAGTTCTTTAACACAGGCTGACTGTCCAGACCTATTTGTACAATATGACCTGTAACACAGCCTGTAGCACACACATACAGTTTTGTGGCTCAGTTTTGTCTACAGTGAACGCATCCAATACAATACAATAATTTTCTATTCTTCTACCTGACTTCGTTTTATTTATTTAGAATTTATTTCATTTTTATTTTGTTTTAGTCGTTTTAAAAAGAAGAAATCCTCGAAAAAAGACGAAGAAATTAAACAAAAAGTCGAGAAACGCTTGTCAGTGATGAGGGAAGAAGACGAAGAAGAAGGGATTTTGATCAAGGTGAATGACAGAATTTTACACATGTAAAACATAACTCTAAATTTTCTACTGCCAATTATTGACCAACTAGAAAACTCAACCTTCCAAAACTAGATATTTATTCTATATATCCTTCTTTCTAACTTCTTACGTCACTGAAATGCTGGAGCTTCAACTATGGCACAATATCTACACACTTCTACATAATTTCTAACACAATACCTACGCACATCTGTCACACATACATACACAAGTATACTTTGTAAGTACCTCTCTTTTCTCTTTTTAGAAAACGCTATCTCTTATATTGTACATACTTTATTTATTGAACAAAAAGACCAAACAAGGAGCTAATCAAAAAAATAATTTCGACGACAATAGAGCATAAGTGACTGACTTTGAGACTGAATCATTTTCTTATCTTGCATAGGGTTGCTAATGTTTAATCCCATCAAGGACATAAAATGTATCAAATGCCAAATTTTGCAACGCAGGTTTTTTGCTATAAAAAGTTTTGTGAGAAGCACCTATTCATTTGTTATAAATTATTATCATTTATTTTATTATAACATTTATAGTGACTGTATCAATATTAGAAGTCTTTATTTCTATAATAATTATAATGACTTGGTAATTATATTTGCAGTAATCGGAATAGTAGATTATTATTTTATAATTCTAGCTAAAATGCACGAAATAAAGTCAGAAAAGTCCAAACAAATGTGCAAAATTCCATAAAAATAATATTTGACTCCCCCTTTGGTATTTTTATTCCAAGTTTTTATTTTATTTTCGCTATTTTATTTCAAAAATTGCATGATTACTGTATGCTACAATGAACACTACATTACAATAAGCACAGAAATATTATTTTAGTTTTAGATTTACCAGTCTATTATACCATATTATCGAGAAAAAAAACGGCGTCAAAGAGGGCTGGAGAATGACAATTAGTGATAATTTTGGCGAGGTCAAGCCCAAGGTTTTTGTCAATTTTCAGTATACGACGTCTAAAGATTGATCTCGATAAAATTATCATCGATTGTCATTCCCCAGCTGTCTATGACGCCGTTTTTTTCGATCAGTTATTTAATATTTAAGGTTTAGAAATGTTTTTTGTGTGCTTTTTGTAACATCGTTTTAATTCTATCACACAGTATATTTATTTTTATGTTTCGTTGTCAGTTAGGTGGACAAAATTCCTGAATTTAAATCTAACACAAAGAATTCATTACATTCAAAAAGCCTTTACAAGAATAATACAGAATATAGAAATCACAAATTAAATTAACCTTCGCCATTTTGTCAAGAAAGTACTAATATTTATGCACCTAGCTCGAAAGTTTTTTTTTTGACTAATTTGTACCTAAATGCATTTTTTTTTATAATTTTAGATTAGAATAGAGAAAATATAAATATGTTTAATCGATTTTCAGCGGCCGAGTCATAAGGAGAATGGTACATATTTTAAATTAGATTTTGCATGTGCTCCTGTTTCCTTTTGATCAAGTGCATGATGTTCTTAGAAAAATGAAATAAAAAATCCTTCTATAAACCAAGAGATAATATAGATCTTCTTTTGAGTAGAGTATTTATTTTTGTCGTCTTGATAGTATTTCATCTATGTATATTAAGACATAGATAGTTCCATAAAAATAACATGCGATACTTAACCAAAATGTTACTCAGAATGCTTTGTTTTCTAAAAATGTGGAAATTATTGAATAACATTATATAAGATCTTTTTTATGTACCTATTTAGATGTTGACGTTTGATACCTTCCTTTTTGATTAATACAAATGTTAAAAATTCTCTCAACTAATAATATATTAATTCTTTTAGTTTGATCATATCTGCGAGGCGTCTCACTGGAAAGATACCAAACTCAGAAATATAATGGAGGATTCAATGGAAACACACGTATAATATTCTAGAATAATTACAAAAAAAAAACGTATATAGTCTATTCTAATTCATCCATTTTTATCTTGATATTCCAATTAATAATATCTAAAAATAATCCCCATGATTTGTACAACAGCTTTATATGAATTATGTTGTATATGGTCTATCTCCAGCAATGCTATTTAGTATATTATTTGTGTGTGATTTAGATTATTTTTTCTATTAGTCTTTTTTTTCTATAATTTTCTCTCCCTAAATCGTATATTCTCTTGCTGGATAGATTATATAAATTATAGACTAGGTACTGGGAATCACAAACTGAATCACAAACTACAATTGATTTATATAACTTATATGTAATAATGAATTATTTAATTATTTATTTTGTTTCGTTATACAGGGTGTTCCTTAAATAAGTAGTGGCATTATATTACGACCTCGTCGATACTCTTAAAATTCTTATAGGTATTTAAGAAACACCTTATATAATAAGTATGCTTATTTAATATGAATGTTTACTATTGGACACAGATTAAATATGATATTTTCTAAAATAAGCAATCTTAGTAAAGATGTTTGAACTATAATATTGTTGTGTGGCCTATATTATGGTAATTAATTTAGTTAATAGGAATTAGAAAATGTAATTAAAATAATAAAAAAAGATTATTTAAATATTTTGTAGGAAGTTTTACAAGATTTTTCCCGGATTAAAGCAATAAACAAATTCTGGCCTATTTTTTTGTATTAAAAATTGTGGTTGATCAAAAATTCTTATCACCAAGCCTAAATCATTATAAAATTATTAGATAAATAAAAATTAGAGCAAAAAATATCAGTGTAAACGCATATAACCAATATTTTTGTATGATTTAGGTAAGCGTTTAAAAAATACTAAAAAATTGTATGTCCAAAAATGTCTGGTTTATTCGAATCTCTATCCAAAATATTATATTTTGTATATGATATACCTAAATTAAATATTAAGTATGTTAGTTAAGTGTCTGGATATGGTGAAATTAAATTGATTATTTTAGTAGAGAGATAAATAATAATTGTAATTTTTAGGTCGCAAAACCAATAAAAAGGCAGAACTAGAATTAGTCGTTTAATAAAAATATATATAGTTCCAAAAATCACAGTGTTTTTTTCTCTTAAAACTAGTATAAGTAAAGCAATAAATAATTATCAGATTATTTATGAATATAAATAATACAAAATTTAAAATTTACTTTATAACTATTAACTGTGTGAAAAGATCAAATATTTCAAAAATACTGCAAAATGTTTGTATCTATTACTTCAGCTAGATATAAAAAGTTTCTTAAATATTTTTTAAATAATTAATAAGTTTCTCTTCAGTTTCTAATGCTTTTTTTTAACTAATACCATATGATCGAAAAAAAAAATAAAAAATCGGCGTCGAGTTGGCTTGGAAATGAACATCGATGACATTCCTTATACAAGGTGTCCCAGAAATAAGTGCAAGTATTTTAAGGTTTACTACCTATTTAGATGTTGACCTTTGATACCTTGGGTGGTAGATCTCGATAAAAGAAACATATTTTCTCTTTATCGTTTTTCAAATAAGTCCAAAATAACGGAGTTATTTTACTTTGAAAATTTCCAAAAAAGAAATGATTTTTTGCTAAAATTTTGAGAACCACTGGATCTTTTTTGGATTTTCTTTCTTGTAAATTTAATCTAATATCTATGTTGCCATATTATCAAGAAATTATGTTTTTAAACTAAAAACAAAAAAAAATTCAAAAAATGTTTCAAAAAATTTCGAATTTTCAAAAAAAAATTTTCGCAAAAAGAAACTCATAGGCATGTTTCTGGGGTTGAACTATACTGCCAGTTAAAATACTTGCACTTATTTCTCGGACACCCTGTATAATTTTATATACAAAACAGGACAGTGATCTTCATTTCGTAGCCATCGCTGACGCCGTTTTTTTTTTCGATCATATTGTGTAACAATAGTAAGTTCTAATATTACGAACTATTGTTATTGTTAGTATAACAATCATTGTTATATTAATCGACCAGATATTATTACAAGATGTTTATAAAATTATATTAAAATAATAAGCTGTAATGTAACCTGTTAATTTAGTAAGTTTATATAAAACCCTCTGTATAAAAATATTTCAATAAAAAAATTAGGGAGGGAGTATAATGATATCCATATATGATATCCATATATATATTTGTTTAGTTCAGTGAAGTTGCTATAAAATTCCGGTTCCAAAAATAATAAGCTCACAAAATTTCACTTTAACACAAACTTTTGTTCTCTCTGCAAAAACCACGTCAAAATAAAACACTTAATCACCACAATACACCAAAACACTTTTACTTTTGCACTGTAAGTGTAAAAGTAAAAGTGTTTTGGTGAATTGTGGTGATTAAGTGTTTTATTTTGCTGTGTAACACCAAAGGTTCCAACCTTCAACTGTAAAAACCACGTCGTATATGACGCGCCACCCTGTATAATTCGATTTCAATCAAAATTTCAGTGATTGCTTTATATATTTCAGCTTATGCATTAGATTCATTTATTTCAATAAATTTACTTAGGAAAACAAATAAAAAAATAAAAAAAATAAGAAGGAAATAACCATAGAGGAAATAACTAAGAATTTACTAAAATAAAAAATTACAAGCATTTAAACATTTTAGTATTTTATCTATGTATAAAACACAATACAGAAGGTTTCACATAGTAATTGAATTCCGAGGTAAAAGTCTCTGGGCACTCCACTAATAGGACTTTTTTTGGAGAGTCAAATCCGCCATAGAGGTATAGACATTTCCTTTCTTAATCTTTTAAAAAAATAAAAATGAAACTAGCCATGCCATCTATAACCATTATCTCGCACCATATCAACGACAGTAGTAAAAGGTCTCTTCTTTGGCGCACTTAGCGCACTGCAACGTCAACGGGTTCGAATGAATCCACTTGCACTTGCAGTTCTCGTCGAAAACCTTCTTGACGCTGGTGTGTCCGCGCGTGCAACACAAGGTGGCGCAGTTGTTCTCGTCCTTGCACCGCCTGCCTGATGTCGTCACGCCGTACGCCCCCAGCTGGCCGCAGAAATTGGGGGAGTTCTCCAGGAAAACCAGGTGGGTTTTCTTCTTGTATGGTTCGAGGTCGCTATCAGGCTTGACTTTGACCGCTGTGTGGTAGAGCTGGCGAAGGTTTTCGGCGATTTTTACGAACGGTTCCACTCGCATAAAGCAGATTTTTAGAGTACATGATTCTGAAAATAATCGTATATTACATACCGAGGAGGAAAAGTGTTTCATTACTAGAACGCGGATATATAAGCATTAAAGAGACCCAAAATACTTCGAAAATAAGCACATAAATATGCACGTAAATTTAAAAAATCATGAAAAAAATGAACAATTAATTTTGACTAATTTAATATTTTTTAATAAACCAGTATAAAAAATAATTATGCACAAGAACATAAACTATAAACTTATATGAACAAACTAAACTATAATGAATTATATACCTAATATTTTGTAATAAAAAATATTTAAATAACAAAAACAAATGAAATTAGGACTTAACAACCAAAATAAACTAATCATCGTTTTTAAATAAACCAACAACTGTTTCTCTAAATTTTGTACAGAAAATCCCATTCTCCTATCACTAAGGAATATTATGTCCTTAAGTAGGGGGAAAAACTTCGTTCAACATTTACACTTGTAATCGGGGCATATTTAGATCTCTGAATTAAACTGGCATTAATAGTGAGATCTTCAACAATGTTTCCTTTTACATTTACTAAAAATTATAGTTCCTGAAGCACTTTTGAGATGTCCGTTTTAAATTTCTCAACTATTTACTACATCTACTAGCGCAAAATCCTTGTTTTCGAGTTTTGTAACAGCTTCGCTCACAAAGCTGTATCTTTCTCACTCCAAACAATATTCTATTGATAAAAAAGTCATGTAAACGCAGAGACATCGACAGGCAAATAGACAAGAAACCTAACTATAAAATTTAAGGCAGACGTATCCAGTAGCTGGCGTCAATCACACTAGTAGTCCAGCACTGGCATAGTAGTAAAAGAGTAGATGTGAAGGAATATAGAGGGGGTTCTTCAATTTTAAGTATTATTTTAGAAAATTTTCTAGAAAGCCTCCAAAACTGGATTATTTCTAATTAATTTTTTTGCACTAATTTAAGTGACACCCTGTGTAACTTACTTGACATTCCATGGCAATCACACTTTTTCACATTATGCTTCACCACAGCCTTCATTCCAACTTCACTGTTATATCTAATAATATTACTATAATTGTCACCCTTTTTCTTCAATTGCAAAATCTTTTTTGTTAGTTTCTTAGCGTACTTTATATTATCTCCACAACCTAGAAAAACGAATTAAAAAAAATACAATAAGTTCATTAACAAAACGTTAAAACTACTTGGTTTTGACTGTGTATCTCTAAAATGTATGTTAAAAAATCCGCAGCATAATCCTGGAGTATAAAACAAAACTTAACATTAAAATTAGGACTAATTTTTATTTTTCCTCGTATAGATGGTACCTTCTATAGTATTTTAAAGAGATTGAGAACAACAGAACTTTTTATATCACGACACCTAGTAATTTCAATTAAAAATACGTCGTCTTGAAGTGTTTTTATTTATTAGAAATCATCTTTTTCTATTTTAACCATACGATTGTGTTGTAAGGTTAATTTTGCACAGATCTTTCAGGGATGCCCTGTAGATAAAGTAGAATTCATAAACAAGTAATTTTCTTATTTTTTTTTAATTTTACTTCAACGCCAAAATGAAAATACTATACTAAAAATTTTAAATTCACTTCTTTACTTATATTTTCTATATTTCTATTAAATATTGAAGTAAACAAAATTTTCTTACCACCCCATTCAAAATCCGAACTATTTTCACTTTTTCCATGACTAGCACATTTACAATTGGCAAGTTTACCCTCAGCACACGCTCTGGCAACAGTGTACATAAGGGCCGAAGTGACTAAGCTATGCATCAATGCCGTTTCCCTAAATATCTTCTTAAAATATTTCTTAATATTCGTTCTGGAACAATTCCATTGCTCATACCTAAAAATCATAATCGTATAGTGAAAAACCATGGATCGAAAAAAAACATTTTTTTTTCAAACGTCAGAAAAGTATTAATTTTTGCGACCGTGATTGACAATATAAAAAAGTCATTTTGACGCCTAGGCATAAAAGTAAAGGACTTTTACGCCTAAGCATAAAAGTACGAATATACAGGGTGTTTCAAAACAAATGCGAAAAACTTTAGGGGGTGATTCCTTGTTCAAAATAAAGGGTAGTTTGCTTTATAAACGTTGGGTCAAAAGTCAACCATTAGGGAGATATCGCGGTATAAAGATGGCGGAAAAATTATGTTTTTATTTTTTATCTTGAAAACGAAAAAAGATAGACTAATGAAATTTTATGGAAGCATTACTGTTATGAAAACACACTTTCTGGTAATTTTTTCACTTTTTTAAAATGAGTGGAAGTGGTTGAAATAAACTACCCCTATCATTCTTGTTAACAAAATTTAAAGAAAAATCTTATCAAACACATGCAAAAAAATTAATTTGGATAGTTTAGTTTGTTTAGAAACTTTTTTATCTCTTGTGTTTTTTTTGATAAAACTTACCGATTTGAAATTAAAAAATAAAATGTAAAGCATTACATGTCAGGACAAAAAACATTTTTGGATTAAGAATCTAGTGATAATAACAATAATAATAATCATCTAGATAATAACGTATTGCAGTAGAGTAATGTAAAATAAAATAATATGAGGAACATCCTAAAAAGTAACAGCAGCCCACTAGATTCTTTATCAGAAAATGTTTTTTGTCCTGGCATGTAATGCTTTACATTTTATTTTTTAATTCCAAATCGGTGAGTTTTATCAAAAAAATATAAGAGATAAAAAAGTTTCTAAACAAACTAAACTATCCAAATTAATTTGCATGTGTTTGATAAGATTTTTCTTTAAATTTCGTTAACAAGAATGATAGGGATAGTTTATTTCAACCCCTTCCACTCATTTTAAAAAAGTGAAAAAATTACCAGAAAGTGTGTTTTCATAACAGTAATGCTTCCATAAAATTTTATTAGTCTATCTCTTTTCGTTTTCAAGATAAAAAATAAAAACATTATTTTTCCGCCATCTTTGTACCGCGATATCTCCCTAATGGTTGACTTTTGACCCAACGTTTATGAAGCAAACTACCCTTTATTTTGAACAAGGAATCACCCCCTGAAGTTTTTCGCATTTGTTTTTAAACACCCTGTATATTACTAAACTGACATAAAGTGTCAAATTCAACGAGCGTAACCATAGTTTCTCGATATATAATTACTTACAAGGTATTACTTTTAAATCTTTTTAGATTATTTGAAACGTTTGAAATTATTTAAAACATTATTTGAGGCATGTGAAAAAAATAGCATGTTCTATTCGGAGTAAAAATGACTTTTTGTGCCTCACCTGTATGTTAGACGTATAGCCTCGCCACAAGAGGTGTCGTTTTTACTCCTAACAAAATAATATACTATTTTGCAGACCAGTGTAGTTTTTTAAATTTCCTTTTCAATCAATATTTGGAATTATTAAATAAAAATATTAGGGAGGGTGTTTTTCTTTTTAAAAAGTATTGTAACAAAAACTAATAAATAATCAAGACAGAAATATTAAAAAATTACTTAAAAAATTAAAAAGTTATATATAGTATTCAAAAATTCTTACTCAAATTGTTCCATACAAGAACTGACTGCTAACTTCCTTGTTTCATGCAAAAGTTCAGGTAAGCCTCTCCTTCTTCTACACAATTTTTCTGGATGCTTGAGGGTCTTCAACCATCTACACATTTCCTTATGAGTAGCATTCGGTTTGATCCAAGTCGCGTTTGAAGAAAACACAAGCGAAATAAAGGATTTTTTACTATGTTCCATTTTTGTTGATCTTGTAGCACTATCCAACAAAATAATTTAGTTTGTATATGTCTTTAGACTGGATATTTCTGCAGAAGAATATTTTTCTGTGTGTGCTAATAGATATTTACAGCATGAGTTAACAGCATGATTAAGATACGCACAAAAGTATCTTAATGGAGTTAACTCGCGTGTATTGTACAATATTTTATCTACGTCTAACTATAAAAACACACAATGAACTTTAACAAGTTTTTTACTTAACTATATACCTATCCTAAAAATCAATTACCTTAGTACCTTTGTTCAAATAACACCATGCATGGCAATGTCAATATGACAGTAAATAATATTCATGTCACTAGTTTAAAAAATGAGCAATTCGGAAAGTATTCCTTCTGATATTGAAGAAGAGGCATTCAAAACCATTTCTGGATTGCTTCTAGCAAGATCGAAACAAAAATATGAATATACATACCCTCAGTATGACAAATGGCGCACCGAAAAAAAGTCAACAACTATGGAAATGAAAAGGTACTCATAACATATGTTTCCAATTTATCCGCTACTTATAAGCATTCGTCTCTTTGGGCTTTCTATTCAATGATACGTACTATGATATCAATTAAAATGAATATAAATATATGCTTCATCAGGCATATACTTGAAAGATTGTTCAAACTGTATCATTAACATTTATAACAAATAAGTTTTCATGTTTTTATAATTATTATCAATAGAACAGTTTATTTGTATTTAGTAGGTAGGTATTTAGTGCAAAATAAATGATTTACAAAATATTTTTTTCTCTTCGGTAGTCATCTAAACAAGGAGTGCGGTAAGAAAAATGCGTGAGTTAAGAAACTCTTAATTCACTTAAAATGCGTGAGTTAAAAACTTCTTAACTCACTCATGTAGATAAATATATCCATCCATGTGTTCTTTATTAGTATTAACACACTGGTTAAATACGATAGATCACTGATACACTTGAAACACTAATAGAATTCGCTATAATTATTAAGAAAAAATTAAACACCAGCGGTTGGTAGAATTTTCGATGTAAAACCAACTAAAATCAAAAATTAATTTTCGTTTCAATTTTTATAATTTTAAATATTTAAAAAAATCTTTTAAAACAATTTTCTATAAACAAACATCCATTGACCAAGTGTGAGTTCATATTAATTAATGAAAATCATATAATGAGAGGAAAGAGTCACAAACCTTAAAATCTTTTATTTGATTTTTTTTTTATTTTTCATTAATTAAATTTGTATTTTCCTCTTTTTTTTCACTTTTTTTACTTTTTTTCTTTTTTCACTTTTTTTTTGTTTTAACTGTTCTTCTTAACAGTTGAGAAAAAATAGATTGATAATCCTCCATTTTATGAATCTCAATTTATTTATTTTAAAGCTTAATTAAAAAGAAATAAAAGATTGTTAAAATTTCTCTACTAAATGAAAATTACTACCACTAATTTTAACTTTCTGAATGCCTAAATTAAAATTAGAGCAACAAACTTTACGCTAATTAGAATTACTAATTTATGAAAATTTTGAGGGGAATGAGCTGAAAGACTTGTATTTTCACGGCGGTTATGATTTTTTTGAGGATATTCAAAATGTTTGATAAAATATGAAAAAATCATAAAAAATGAGTCCTGATCAAGATCGAAAAGTTGACAAAATACAAGTCTAAGGTAAAGTCCAAACCAAACTAAACGACTGTATCAAATTGGAAAATTAAGGTCGCAAAAAACAAAAATACTAAATAATTTTATTTTTTGAAAAAATTGCGAAATACGGATACTAAAATTATCGCACTTACTTATTCAATAGAGATCCACAGATTAGGAAAGCGAAAAGGCACAACACGACTGATGCTTTTATAACATGAGCCGGAAAATGTCTCATCTTCGCGCTACATCTCGGAAAACTGTCTTTTGGGTGTAACCGACATAATTTACTCGCAAATGTTATGACAGACTAACTAGTATACCGGGGACGTTCGAAATATACACCGAGATAATTGATTTTTATTTTTTTATCTTGATATTATCTTGATTAACTGATTTAGATATTTTGTTTTAGACACACAACAGATCTGTAAGGTCGCGGTTTTTAACTCCCCTCCTAAACATTCTACGTCTTGATTTTTTGTGTTTTTTGTTAGGAGCATTTAGTAGACCTAGTATCATATAGTTTAGTTTGTTATCTTTATTTTCAATTTCTTTAGGACAATAAAATGCATAGATCGTAACTATTCTGATTCAGCAGAATAACTGCTGACAGAATCTTCCAAATTTATAGTATCCAAATCACAGGTGGATGAAATATCCTCACATATAAGATATTTCTGTACATCATTTTCTAATTATGTTACTTTTTCGCGTTGTTACTGTTCTTTTTATTGGTATGAGGGGTTCGGATGTTAATAGTTACCTCTTTAATAGACCATATCCATATATTATTTTTTCCTTTTCTTGGGTATAAGGTTTTATAATAAATTGAAAGATGGAAACTTTTTTTATGCGACGTTTCGCTCCAACATAGTGGGCTTTTTCCGGCACAAGTGGTGTCTCATTTGACTGGAAGGTTCATCAATATCTAATAAAGAACACATTTTCTGAAATACAAAGAGTTCTTATCCTTATGATCAAGCCAAGTATTAACCAGATCGGCATTGCTTATCAATTTTACTCCATCTGAAAAGTATTATAAAATAAAGTTCGTCGCAAGCAGACGCAGGTGAACTATACAAAAATTAAAAGTGTATGAATATGACAACAAAAATATTCAATAAATACGATATGTTTTGATATGTTTTTTTCTTAAATGCCTTTTTGAAGTTTGAAAACGTAAAATTTTTATACCCATTTAAGAATCATCTTAAAAAATAAATAAAAACTAAACAATCACGAACTTGTTTAGAAATAAATTTAAAGTACATTCCTTGTTTAACAATATCCATAGTGGATTTCAATTAAGTACGTACCGTCTAACTCCATACACAGAACTACTATGAATGTTATTCTTTTCACTGATATAAGATAATGATCGCAAAATTTATTTTTAGTGAAAATATTTCCTAACAAAAAACGGTGTTTATGAAAAATAATATACAGGATGGTTGAACATTGCTATAAGTATAAAATTACATATTCAGATATTAGTAAATTTTAACTTTTTTTTTCGATTTTTCTCCATGGGACGAAGCACTGTGCATCGGTTCAGTAAAATATTTTAATTTATCTAAATATCATCATCATCATCGTCAGCTTATTCAACCATTGTTAAATATCTCTACATCTTGTTTTCTACTGCCGATGCCGGGTCCAGACCAAGCAGACAAAACAGGACAAGACAGAAACATTCATGTTTTACGACAAAACTGCGACAAATCCAATACAAAAATGTCTATCCCTATGTGGCGGATTCATCTCTCCAAAAAAATCCGATATTGGTATGTGGCCACTGCAAGAAAATCTACAAAATAAAATAGTTATTTTTTGTAAACACTTCTGCGTTAACCCTAAGTTAAACTTCAAAATTAACAGTTACTACCTGATAAAAATTACTTAATAAGGTAAAACCAAAAAACCTCAAACTTTCTGTATGATTATTTTTAATTTTTACGTATGTTATGTTTATTTATGTTATGTTCTTTAAAATCAAAGAAGCGATTGCCATACATTACTAACATCTACAGATGCATGAACAATACATTTATTTTTATTAGATTGTATTAAGAAAGCTTCTTTTATTTTTCTTTTAGACGCTATCGCTTCTTTCATTATAATATTGGCGTTATTAAAATTTATTCCGTGCCCTGTGTCCCATGAATGCTTACAAATCTTAGATTTGTGAAAATCTTCCTTTCTTAAATAATCTTTATGTTCTTTAATTCGAACGTTTAAGGGTCTAGATGTTCCACCAATGTAAAATTTATCGCATTCGCACATGGTATTTTGTATATTACATTTTTTGTTTGTTGTTCCGTATTTTTATTGGTTTAGTATGTGATAAAATGGATCTAAATGTATTTTGTGTTTTGAAAGATCTTCGTATGTTATATAATTTAGTTTTGAATTAATATGACAGACCAACTACTGTTACTGTAATGCATTAATTCCTTGTCCAGTTTGCAGAAAACCTTCTATTGGACACTACCTTGTATTCCCAGTATACTTTACGACAAACCAAACAAAAATGCAAGAAAAAAGCAAAATAAAATAAAAATACACATACTGTCGTCCTGAAGAATGGCCAATGAGCTGAAACTACATATTAATATTTGTCTTGGTGTAGAGCAAACAGATTTTGAAATGGAATACCGACCAGAGCGCGGACATTTTCAAAATATACACACATATGCAGCCCTACACGATATGTTCAAGCTTATATGCGAAAGAATTTTGTTTAATTTGGATTTTAAATAAATTAAACACACTTTTTAAATAAATATTGGCAAGTTTGAGTTTAAACTATTCAGTATTTAAATATGTAGAAGAACGTTTTCTTAGGATTGGTTTTGGATAAATCTATACTAATATATGTATGACTAATATGTGACTGACATACTGATTAATCACGCGATCCTGCACAAATCACCCAACGTAAGAAGCTCAATTTTGGCATACAGGTTGATTCTAGGGTGTAGAGGTTCGATAAGAAGGGATTTTTCGAAATTGCAGTTCCAAGAGGGTGAAACCACCCCTTAAATATTACAATATTTTTTATTTAAAAAACGGTCAAGTTTCCGAAAAAACGCTTAAACACGTATATTTTATTTTGTTTTTTACATATTTTAAGATTTTTTAAAAATGTATACAGGGTGTTTCGAAAAATCTGGTCATTGATTAATCACGATCCTGCTTAAAGAGCTGACGTAAAAAGCCGATTTTTGGAAAACAGATTAACTTTAGGGTGTAGAGGTTCGATAAGAAAGGATTTTTCGAAACTCGAATTCTAAGGGGGTGAAACTATCCCACAAATATTAAAATATTTTTTATTTAAAAACCGGTGAGTTTTTTGGAAAAAAACTCTTAAACACGTATATTTTATTTTGTTATCTTACATATTTTAAGATTTTTTATAAATTTATACAGGGTGTTTCATAAAATATAACCATTGAGTAATCACGATTCTTCAGCTTAAACTGCTTGACGTTTAGAGCTGATTTTTGGCAAACGGATTGACTGTGGGGTATAGAGGTTCGATAAGGAGGGGTTTCTCGAATCTCAAATTCCAAAAGGGTGAAAACGCCCCTTAAATATTACAATATTTGTTATTTAAAAAACGGTTAGTCTTTCGGGAAAACGCTTGGACAGGCATAATTTATTTGGTTTTTTTACATATTTTGAAATTTTTTAAAAAATTATACAGGGTGTTCCAAAAAGTTGGGTAATTTCTTAACCACGATTCTGCTTAAACTGCTTGACGTAAACAGCTTATTTTTGGCAAACGGATTTTTCGAAAGTCAAATTCCAACGAGATGAAACTACCACTCAAATATTACCAAGTTATATAATAATATCGCCATATTGTTTTTTCTCATGCTGACATAAATGTAAGAAAATTTTATCCAGTTTGTATGTTAATGGAAATTCTTGCTTTGCTTTATCATCATCATTACAAATTATTAAATCGACGCGAACGAAGTCGCTAGTACACGCTAGTGTAGTTATATGTGTTATACAAATCATTTTTTATATAGTTTTATAACATTTATATTTTTTTTTCGATTTATTAAACGTATTTAAACGTTATAATAGCAAGTGTAACATTTTATTTAACGAATAGATATAAGGTATATATGTCATAGAAATATTTTTTATAGTTTTCTAGGACACATTTATATAACTTACAGTTATTTTTCGATTTATTGTAAAGTTTTAAAAAGTTGATTTTTTTATTTAAATCATGCCAACCCTGCTTTTTAGTACTTTGAATGTAGATTTTTGCAAATAACTTTCAGATGCCTAATCCAAATAAAACGAAATTCTAGATAAAAGTACAACTTTAACGCCTCTTCTAATAAAGTCATTCATCACGAACAAGTCTCATCACTTTGTATATTTTTTGGAAAAAAAATCAAAACCTCTACCTGCCTTAAAGTCACTTTACTATACCCCTGCCCCCACTGTAAGTAAAACATTCGAAAAATACACAGGCCACTCCGCAAGTCAATATATCCCGTCCAAATATGTATTTTATGGATATTCCGTGTTTTATTCTATTTATCCAATGTCACTTTGAACTGTAAAATAAGCAAACAACGGTCCTTTAAATCACAGAGAGCCAGCCCGGTGAGTACGAGATTTTTCTCTTTTATTTTTGTTTCTGTTCCTCGGTCGACCTTCTCTCTCTTTCTCTTCTTTTTGGTGTTTGTGTCGATTGTCAGAGGAGTAAACATTGGGTGCACGACATGGATTTTTCGTGGATTTACCTTAAAAGTGTCAAATATTTGGGGTTTATCTAGGCCGAGCAAATATTCGTCCTTCAAGTTTGGGCAAGAACAAGTGCGAGGTTTTTGACTTGAGGAATTGCTGGTCAGTTTAGGTGACAATAAGGCTCATTTTATGTATTAAATGCGAGTTAAATGCGAGAAACAGGTATTGTGTTTATTAGGGTGTACAAAAAAAAAATATTTTTTAGTAACCCTGAAAATAACATTTACGATGATGAAAAAAATATCTGATAAAGTTTGAGCTCTTAATATTAATATTAATATTTTAATTTTATTGTTGTCTAGCAAATCAGCGTCTTGTTGTAAACATCAATACATATTCTTGTAGGAAATTGAACGATCTACATAAAAGGTCTGATATGATTTTTCATTTAATCGACTCGTTTGAAAGTTATTGAAGGTGCTGTCAGATATAGTTAATAAAAAAGTATTATCTAAACAGCAATATTGGCCTTTGAGTACGGCAGCTTTTTTCTCAATAGAGCAGTAATG